CTTGTTTTTTTCCCCCCCCCCCCCCCCCCCCCCAAGTAAGTGGAATGGCGCTTGTCCTGTTGCTGTGATTTTATGCTACAAGTAGTTTCCTGAGTGGGTAAAACTCATGAAAAATGACCTACATTCTCCTCTGGAAAACAAGGGACTGGGTTGGTGGGCTCCCTTCTTTCTCCTCCTCTGTGAACTGGAGTTTGTCTGGTTTAACTACATCTCTCTCCTTTTGTCCCAGAAGAAGAAAGTGGAGAAAGAAGAGGTCAGGTAAGTAAAATATTTAAGGGGTGTGGGGCCAGGGGAAGGATGAAGTGGTTCTCCAGAGCTGGTGGTGGAGGCCTGGTCTTGGTGGGTGCTTGACTGGTGGCCATCTTTCAATGCCTGGTGAAGCTGGTATCTGGGACTACATAAGTTAAGAAATTTGCACTGCCAGGATGTAATACTGGCAAAGAATGAAGGATAAAACATCCCTAAAGTGTCATGAGTTAGCCCTTCTTGATACCTCCCAGAAATACCCAACACATGGCTAGGCTAAAGCTTGAACCCACCTCCTGGATTTCTTCCCCCCCAGTGAGTTGAGGGACCTCAGTGCTGTGTTTGTTTTTGTTTTGTGTGTTGTTGTGTATTTTTTGTTTTGTTTTTTTTTTTTTTTTCATCTATGACTTTATGGCCTGACTTGGTGGCAGAAGTACTAACCTCCCACTTCTCCTTCTCTCCCAAGCAACCCTGTTTGTTCTGATGAGGATGCACCTTCTAACAAGGTAGGAAGCCACATCTGCATGTTTGGGGCAGGGGTGCTGGTTCTGGCAGCACTTTGTGGAGAGCATGTCTGAAGTGTCTGGCTTCTTATTCCTGACACTTCCCCTCTGCTTTCTGCTGGGTGCACCAGTCCTTGTGCAAGTGCTCCCTGGAGCCCAGTGACTTCAACCCCAGACACAACTTGGGCTGTGGTGGTCATGGCATGGTGTTGATGTCCTCCAAGTGATACCATTTGTGAGGCATGAGAGCATACAAACAGTTGCTAGAAGAGTGTTCCTGTCTGAAGCAGCTTGAGTCCCTGACTGGCTTCCAGATCCCAAAAGGGGAGAATTGATTATCCAAGATCAGTACCAGTTGCCTTACCAGGCTACTGCATTTGTGAATGCCTGCCTGGAAGATACAGAGTAGGTGTCTGAATAGCCAGACTTAGCCTGCATCTGCAGATGTGTGCAGCAGGCTCTTCTGTATTGTGAGCCACATGGAGTGTCTCTGGCTGAATCTCCAGTCACGGGCTGCTCTAAAGTCATTTTGCTTTTCCTTTTGCTGCAGGGGAAAGGAGCAGGCAGAGGGAGGAAGCCAGCAGCCAAGAAATAGATGGACATGCAGTGAGGCACCCACAGGGTAAGGGCTCACCTGACAGGGTGCTAGTTGGGTGCTATGTTCTTGCCTCTAGGGGAGGGATCCTGAGGGCTGCAAGGCACAGTGCTGAGAGAAACCAGTATCTTGTACCCAGAGCTCCTTTTGCCATCAGCAGCTAGGGTATCCTGCACTTGGAGATGCATGATTAGTAGACCTTGGGAAAGATGCTGGGTGTATCTCTTAGTATGTCACACTGGTGGAGCAATAACAACCAGGTGCCCTGGGAGAAACCTGGAGGCCTGTCCTCCCTCCTTGAGGGATTCTGCCTGCCCTACAGCCACCAAGAAGCCGGTGGCATGGAGACCTACAGCCAGCAGAGACCTGGTATTAAGGGCACAACTCCAGGTCTGGGACTCTAGCCTGCCCATCACTACTGGAGGATTACTCCTCTCCATTAAAGTGAAGCCAGGCGGGTGATCCTTCTGCGTTCTGGCCTACAAGCCACCTCCAGCTGGGGGGCAGAGCTGCAGCTCACTTGCCATCTGTAGAAAAACCCCAGGTATAAAAATACCCCATCTTGTGTTGAGACTCGTTTGCTCTTCCCTTCCAGGGCCTGCTGCCGAAGAGAACAGAGATTTCTTTGTATATGTGTGTGCACACTACTTATTTCTCTAAATTTATCCATAATAACAATAAAGCGCTCTCTTTTTCTTTTTCTTTTTTTTGCACTTTGGGCCTACTGCTGTGAGGCTTGTGGGGTGACTTGGAGAAGATGAGCCAGATGTGTTCAAGATGAATAATTGAGGCTAAGCTTTTAGCCCTGGCACCACAGCTAGGTTCTTCCCCTTGGCTGGGTGTAAGGGGCCCTGAGACTGGAGTGTGAGGCGGATGTTTGGATACAGGGTTCAGATAAAATGCTACTGATTCTGTCAGGAATTGCCTACCAAGCTAGCTGTAATACTGCTTGGCTCCTATAGAGGACAGCCCTGCAAAGGGAAAGAAACCATCAGCTGTGGCAGGGGCTAGTTAGCTTCAGGGCTTGACTGAAGCCCCCCACAAAAGGAGAAGCTGGAGTGAGGGCCAGGCTAGCTCTCGGGTCCCTGTCCCTTGTCTCTGTTGCAATTTCTTTGGGAATAGCTGGGCTCTTCAGCCTCCATGCCTGTCATCCCTGCACACCAGTTTGTCCTCAAACTGAGGGTTTGGTCTGCCTATAGGGTGGTCTCTGTCCATCTGCCCCAAGAGCAGAGAAGCATTCTTC